GGGTGAATAATAACTTTATTCTTTTTCTTTTCTCTTTTTTTTTTTTAAACTGAATCAATCCAACATTGAATTCCAATAGAATTTTCACACTTTATTCTTTTTTTTTTTTCATAAACCAATGAAAAACAATAGTGAAATTCTAAAGATAAAGGTACACGACAATATGAATAAAAGGATCATTCTAAACTACGGAAAATGACGTACTGGGATTTAAAAAATGGGCGAGAACGAATGAAAAAGAGTCTTTTTTGGTATTAAAATCATTCGGTGTCCAATTTTGAGGCTGAGAAATAACAAAACAAATAGAAAAAAAGAGAACAAGGAGTCTAAGGATGTACATTGAAAGAAAAAAAAAAAAAGAGAAAAGAAAAAGAATAAAGTTATTATTCACCCAAGTATTTCGCTACTTTGACAATGAATAGATAGAATATATAAATAGATATCTATGGAAAAAGAAAAAGAGGGTCAGAGAAAGGTACGAAATGAATGTAAAGATAGGAAAGAGAAATACCCAAAGGTTAGGCTCACGAAAAAAAAAACAAAAAAAATAAAAATAAAAAGGTTATCAATTCAATCCACTTTTGAAAGTAAAAAAAAAAAAAATTAAAATGATTTACACTTCAGAAGTTAAAAGAAAGTCATTAGACTTCAACAAAAATTGACGAGAAAGAACAAACACAAACAGAACACATTCATTGAACAGAGTAATCTTAGAAAAAAAAATAAAAAACATCCACGCGTGATATGATAAAATTTAACGACGAACAAGAAAAGAAAAAGAAAGTTAATAAAAATAAACAACCATAGGGTCCATTGCAATTTAAAAAGGGTGTCATGAGATCTCATTTCATTTACCTTAAACAAAATTTATTTTAATACAAACCCCCTCCAAAAAAAAAAATTTGTTAAAAAATTTGTTAAAAAATTTCTTTTTTTCATGGTAAAGTAAACTTTTACGATCTTCCATTTTAAAATATATACATATATATATGGTGAAAAAAAAATTCCTATTGGTTGTTCTTTTTTTAGTATTCAAAAAAAGGGGGGCTTCATTCCACTTTCAGATAACTATAACTTTTATTTCTACTATTCCCCAAAAAATTCAATCTTGTGTATACGGTAAAAAAAATTAAAAAAAATTGCAAAAAATGAGTGAGACGGGATTCGAACCCGCGCCTCTTACGAGACGGCAGCCTTAATGCCGCTCCTTGGACCACTCGGACACTCACTCATGCATGCGAGGGGCCAGTTGTATTATTTTAATTATTTAAAAAACGTTTTAAATGATTTTTTAACCTTTAGAATTTTTTATTTTTATTTTTACTAAATGTTTACATTCAAAAATTAGTAGTCAGTTATTTTAAAAATTAAAGGATATCGATAGAAGATTTTTGTGCATCAACTATTCTGCACGAATCTTTAAGAAGATAAAATACAAAATTAACTATAAATGTATAAAAATTAGGTAATTTCTGATAAATTTCTTAAATAAAAAAAATTTAAATATGTAATCAATGTCATGCCCAAAAATTAATAGTAAAGTAAAACTTATGTTATTGATTTTCATAATAATTTCGTCCATTATAATATGTTTATCAACACAGAAATATTTACTACGAGAAGTCGTTCTTAAAATTAAGGAGGCAAAACCATTCTAGAGAATGTTTTCGAATTTAACTTTGACGCTAATTATTAAAATCTGAATCCCAGCTCCAGAGGTTAAAATACTCCTGAAAAGCTCACAGAATCGCTTTTTAACTTTCCTGCACAAATACTTATTTGTAAGTGTATATTAGGAATAGGACCACTTTCTTTCCATTTGATCCTTTTTTATCATTTTGGTTTACTTATGAACTCATGATTTTAAAAAATAAACCGAGTGCACATTTCACATTTACATTCGAATATGCACTTATTTATAAAGTTTTTACAGATATTTTCATTTCATTGTCCACGAAATTACTAATCATACATGGGCTTAAAAATTTTTTTGAAAAAAAAATCAACGAGAAAAAAAAGAAAAAAAAGGTCGCGTTTTAAGGTTACACTTTGTTCAGTGTTTTACGGTTATTTTTAGTTTTATTCCAGAGTCCGCGAACATAGATCGAAGAGATGTATGAAATTTTGAATCAAGAGTGTACTTTAAAAATTCCGTATGGACGGTAAAATACAAAGCTGATAAAAAAAGTTTACTTCATTTCGTGCAAGAATTTGAATTTAAACCAGGAAAAAAAAATGAAAAAAAATTCTAAATCACATTTTTCCAAAAAAATCATGTTAATTTCTGACCCATTTTTGAATAAAAAGTAAGCTTATTAGCATTGAATATGACCGGAGAATCATAGAGAAGTTTGACGCTTCTCATTAAATGATTAAATAGTTTAAGAGAGAGAGAATTGAAATCAGGTGTTAGCTAAGTAGAAGAAGGAAGTAATTTTTAAAAAATTTCGCATTGAGTAATTTTTTCGTCTCTTTCCTTTTTTTGAATCTTAATCTTAATAACGGGGAATACATAATTATAAATCTGAAAAGACAATTTATAATAAAAAAAATAACGAGAATCATGAAAAAAAAAAAACTAACTAGTTATCAATTTATAGATGCACATTGTCATAGAAATATTACATGAAACCTTTCAATAAAAAATATCAAAGCGTAGAAATGAGTTAAATTTTCAGAAGACGAATTTAATAATGGCATGTTAATGGATGAAATTCAGATAATTATTGAGAGAGTTTGAGGTTTTAAAGTAAATAATATTAAAAAAAAAAAAGAAAAGAAAAGAAAAAGAAAGCTACAAGGAAATAAATTGCTACTTTTAAGTGCTATAAAATGTAGTGTAGGAAGATAGTAGAAAAGGGGGGAAAAATGGGAGCGGGCCACCGCATGTATTTAACAAAATGGTTTTTCAATTTAGAAAAAAAGTCGAAAAGCTTCAAAGAATAAAGGAGTAATAAGCAAAGCAAGAATCAAAACAATGATAAAAGTGGTCCAGGGCGATTTAGCTTCTTCTGGTAACTATAAAAGTTTGTATTGCAAGAAGTCATTTGAGGCCATTGGATTCACAGAAACATTTGTTATTTTGTAAATAGAATTCTAGGAAAATATATACTCTTATGAAATTGAAATCCGACGATAAGTAAAAAATGAATAAAATGTAAATGAGAATAAAAAGAAAAAAACAAATAAACTTACACCTTGGACGTAGGCCGCATTTTTTGGATTAGTATCGACGCCAGTTTCTTTTCGCCTTAAATGATTGCGCGCCATTTTGTAGTAGAAAAATGTAAGAAAAGAATAAAAGTGATTTGAATAGAAAGGATTAAGAATTCTCTAGCGAAAAAAAAAACGGAAGTTACACAGGAAGGAAGGAAGAGCCAGCTAGAAAAAAATATGAACTTAATTTTTTTTTAAAATGGATAATTATTCAAGTTTGTGGGGAACTCTAACTGCAAAGCGGAAAGTACGCTTGTCTCTAGACAGGTCAATCCATTGAACCACGTGATTCACCTGAGAGCACGAAGGATCATAGACCTTGACTTTATAAAGATAAAATCGAATTACCTATTAATCAATATGGTCCAGTCCGAACGAGGATGTAAAATTGGAAGCGATTGAAAATAAAAGACTCATACCATATGCGTATAAGTTCCTTGTTTATTGAAAAAATGAAAAAAAGAATTTTAGGACAGAAAAGTCTAAAGAAGTTTGGGTACAATAATAACAAAAAAAGACGAATTAGGAGACTTAATTCAAACGAGAGTTGACTCGATAGAGATAATTTAAATTTCAAAAAAAAAAAAAAAAAAAGAGCAAGACAATGTTGTGAAAGGCGGACACACCTAAATTAAAAGCTACCCATAGATAAGAAATAAAGTTTAATCGGGTAATCCGATACCCAAATCGAAAAAAAAAAAAAAAAAAGGTAAACCCGCATAAATGCATCAAGGTGGGGAATAAATAGAAAAAATTGACACTGGAAATCAAAAAAACCACAGCCGAAAGGTTGAATTAAGTTTATTAAATACAAAAGTAAGGCCTCATAAAATAGAATAAGATTTTAAGAAGTTAAATAATACACAAGTCATCTAACGGTGCACGAAAGAAAACTAAAAGAGCAAAGAGAATAAATTCGTAATGAGTGAAATTATGTGAAGACTTCTCAATGAGGTTTTAAAGAAACCAACAGTATTTAGCCTCCCGAAAGACTTTCTACTTTCGTAAAGTGGACCCTGGATTAAGGGTCAATACACTTGAACACTTCAACATCAAATTTTACATATTAAACCAACTCAAATTGAATGAGCAATTGAAAAGGTCCAAAATTTTCATACCCCTTACTTCTGTAATTCGGACTATGCCTGTGTTTAAGGTAATTTGATGAAAACTACCCAGAACAATCCAAGAAGTGCTCCTTGTGAAGGGCTCTCATAAAAACAAATATTTGAATAAAATGAACTTTTAAGAAGAAAAGTAAATGATTGTGTTTGACGAGAAAAAGATTTGTTCAAGGAAAATACTTCTAAATAAAATTGAAGATTGAAATTAGAATTAAAATTGAATAACAACTTTTAATCAATTCTAAACTTTTAGCAGCTTCAATGCGCAAAAACAACTTCGAAATTAGCCTGAATTTTTTTCTAGAAATATATTTTAAAAGAAAATTAAAAAAAAAAAAAAAAATTCTTCTAAAAGAATTACGCGTTTTTTTTTTTTTTTTTTTCAATTAATTTAAGAGAAAATTTTTATCGCAAATAGATTTAAAATAGTAATGAAAAAGAAATGGTACTAGTTTTAAGGTAGTCCCATAATTTCAAAGTTTTTTTTGAAAGTTTAGAGATTTAAAAAAAAAAAAAAAAAAAA